GCTAAAAGCCTAAACATAGCGCCAAAAAGCCTGTTTCTGGCATTTCCAGTGCCTAATTTAGAGCTCCAGCAGCCCTAGACCAACTATAAATATGTGCCCCCACCGGCCTGTTCTGTCAAATGTTTATTTTTTTAGTTTATTAAATCTAATTTTGCTGATAATAAGTGTCGACCATGACCCATGAACAACTACAAAACCAAGGAAATTGCAGATATGTTTCCGGCCTTTTTAAAACGAACTCCTTTCTTGAAGGTCTCTAAGTCGTATTGGAGCTGAAAAATCGCCTATGGTAGATGATTCCACAAAGAAGTCTTGCGAGATAGAGAAACTCCTAAAAATCACAGTCACCCCGCTGGATGCTTGGTGGACCACCAAGCATCGAGATGTTGTCGATGGTACCGTGAATTTTGTCCTGTTGTCTGTTTCTAGAATTTGGCAGCTGGAATAAATCTGAACAATTTTTAGTAGTTAGTACTTCCTATGGAAAATGCGATAGAAAATGCAATGGGATGAAACATCTTTTCGCAGCTCCCGTGTATCGAGCTGATCTAAGCTGGCACTGGGGTGCCCCATTCCAGAGATGGGAGCAGTACTACATGTGGCGGCGAACTTGCGCCTTGTGAAGTTGCAAACGGTGTGCTGGCATAAAATATTGTCCTGCTCTACTGAGCACGCCAAGTTTTTAGAGGCCCATGTAGCCTTACCTTGCAAGTGACTGCGAAACTGTACGACAACCGATATGTCAATGCCTGATGCCTCTGCGATGCCCTGAAATCAAAGAAAAACGAGAAAAGGATTCGTTTTAGCGGTAAACGCGGAAACTCTAGTCTTCTGAAGTTTAAATTGAACTAGAGCCGTCCGCAATCCGAGATTTTGTTTATTAAAGACTTGACTTCAGACGCAAGTTTGTTCCGATATTCGATGACGTGTTCCCGATAAATATTAGCACGGCTGGCAAAAAGTATCACGAGTATTAGAACCAGTATCTAACAACAACATATAATTGATATACGGTGATAAGAAACAGCGTAGGATAGCACGCAGCGTTGTGGAACACTAGCATTAATCGGCTCGTAGTCGTAGTCCGAATGTACAACGACCTTGATGCTCCTATCTGCAAGAAATCTGATGATCCAACTGCACAATTTCTCGGGAAGCCCATAGGAAGGAAGTTTCTACAGAAGCACGTTGTGCCAAAGCCTATCGAAGGCCTTCGCTATGTCCTATTTAACGAATACATTGATCGATCTACTCTTCTACTACTTTTACTGCTACCGCTCATCTGAGAGTCAGGTAAATTAGAAGTTTAAAACTAGAAGCAGCTGATTGTTGACCGCCAATGCGATCACTTATCAGGTGATCCTCAAGTTACTTTATGAGCTGGCAGTTTATAATGGATGACATTGCTTTGGAAAACAAGAAGGCGATGGTGATAAGCCTGTAGTTGGATGGGTCTGAGCGGTCACCTTTATTGGGATCGGGTGCACTAAAGCTATCTTCCTTATGTTCAGGATTATACCTAGGGAGAAGGAGTACCGGAAAAGACACGTTAAAACCGGTGCTCACTCCGGAGTACCCGTCTTAAGCACAATAGGAGGGACTACATCAGGCCCACTCGACTGCGCTCGTGTGCGCAGTGTAAACCGCACATCCAGCATGTAGCAATCATACCATGGGATGGTCGGCTTTGTGTCCACCCGCTATTGAGAGTCGAGTTGGACTCAAAAACATAACCTAATAAAACCGGCCAAGAGCGTGTCGGGCCACGCTCAGTGTAGGGTTCCGTAGTTTCCCGTCCGTCACAATAAGTGTTCCCACCTATGAGTTTAAAGGTGGGTGTCCATTATGTTCGCGCTCCAACAGAGCTCCGCGCTCCTGCAACTGCTCCCGGTAGTGGGTACTGTTGTTTCCATCCAAGTTCAAAATGATTTTCCTAGAAAGTCCTTATAAAGTTCACTTTCATTTTTCATATTTTCTAAACTTATGGTTAAAAAGTTAGAGGGGGGGGGGACACATTGTTTTTTTACTTTTGGAGCGATTATTTTCGAAATTATTGACATTATCAAAAAAATGATTTCAGTAAACTTTCATTTTTAAATACCTTTCCAACAATATATCACACGTTAGGGTTGAAATAAAAAAAAATCACTTCCCAATTTACATATAGGGGGGCTACCCTAATAAAACATTTTTTTCCAATTTTTATTTTACCACTTTGTCGGCGTGATTGATACACATATTGGTACCACATTTCAGCTTTCTAGTTACAGGAGAACAAACTATAAGGTTCCTAGTTACCAAAATTGACTTTTGCCTTTGCGGTGAGTTGTTCTCCCTGTGCAGAGATGGAACAGATGGCTGACAGAAGTTCCCTTAAACAGTCTTTCCAAACACCTTAATATAATTAGAGGTAGAGAAAAGACCTTGAACAGTTTAAAACCTTTGAATCACGTCCAGTTAGTTTACGAAAGACGAAAGGTACCAAATAATTTAAGGTTTTATTTTTACAATCTATTTATTTATTTTGTATAGAAAATAAAGAAAAAGCAACATGTAAAATACTTGCGGCACTTACTCTGTTATGCATTGAAAATTTGATATTAAATTTATCAAAGTGGTGAAAGAAGGCAGATTCAGCGATCCCTCGAACCTTATTGCGCCCTAGGCTTCAGGTTAGTTAACCTGTGGGTAAATCAGGCCCTGGGCATTTCCGTTCTGCGGAGTCTGGATAGTTTAAGTGGCGAACATAGATTTACTATAAATTAACATTAGAATAAATCTATGATGGTGAAATAATAAGTCCGATCAAATAAACTCAGACAAGTCCACTCCACTCACCAACCATTAGACTCGTCGGCAAATCGAAGGTGAGTGATATACTCCCCATTGATGTTAATACCGTATCCTTTCCAGTCCAGTAGCTTTAAAACGTCTTCCAATGCAGCGGTGAGAGAGTTTCGAGGATATAACGTCACCCTGTCTCACACCTCTCTGCAGTTGGACAGGTTTCGTACTCTGGTTCTGTACTCGGATAGCCGTCGTAGCCCTACTGTACAAACTTCAGCACTTCGATATACCGACAGTCAACTTGGCACCGCTGAAGGGACTGTAGCACCGCCCGAACTTCGATGGAATCAAAGGCTTTCTCATAGTCCACATACGCCAGGCAAAGTGACAGATTGTACTCTTCGGATTTCTGTACAATTTGTCGATGGGTATTTATGTGGTCTATGGTGCTAAAGCCTTTTCGGAAACCGACTTGTTCGGGAGGCTGGAAGTCGTCGAGCCTGCGTGCGGCTCAGAAGGGAAGTCGGTCTGTAGTTCTTCAAGACAGCGATGTCACCTTTCTTGAAGAACAAGACCACCGCACTTCTGCTCCACGCCTCGGGAGTAGTGCCACCATAGAGGACGGAATTAAAGAGCTTCTGAAGGACTTCAAGTACCGGTTTTCCACCCGCTTTCAGAAGCTCCGCTGTAATTCCATCCTCGTCCGGGGACTTGTCGTTTTTAATGTGCTGGAGAGCCATTCTAATCTCGCTCAGACTGATGTCCGAGATATCATCGGAATAGTGTCGGATAAGACTTGCTCTTGGATCGTTTCTCACACTTGCGTATGGCTCATCCTTGGGATGATGTGTACAGTTGCCCGTAGAACCTCTCAATCTCACGCAAAATCTCAGGTGTCCCGAAAACTATGCTGCCACACTCAGTCTTCAGTTTTCTCAGTTGGCTCTTTCTGGCAGACAGATCTCTGGCAAAGACTTTGGAGCCCTGGTTCCGCTCAATCGCTTCTTCAATACAAGCTGAATTGAAGTTGCGTAAGTCCCGCCGCATGCATTTGGAGATCTGTCTGTTCAGTTCCCCGTATACTGTCAAATTTGCTGACGACTGCAGCTTCATCTCCCGTCTAACATGCATGAGATTAAGAGTGTGATCGGAGAGTTTTTGTGTTCTTCTGCGGCGGGTCTTGCAGAACTTAGCTCCGACCGCATGAACAGTTTCCACGAGCTTGTCATTCATATCGTCCACTATAATGCAGTTTTCTAGACACTGCAAATGGTTTTGCAATTCGAGCTGAAAGTTTTCGGGACCCTGGATTAGCGCACGAGGGGGACGGAGCTCTCCAACTTAATGTTTAGGTGCAGTGTGCCTCTAATCATTAGGTGATCGCTGACAGTTTCCACCCTTGCGATCACCTAGACATCACTGACCAGTTGGCGTCTGGTCGTCATAATGAAGTCAATCTCATTTTTTGTCGAACCGTCGGGGCTCGACCATGTCCACTTTCTGTGCGGCCGCTTCTGGAAGAAAGAGTTCATCATAAAGAGTCCCTCTTCCTCCATGAAGTTGGCCAGCTGCTGGGCCCTTGGGTTCTGTTGCCCTATTCCAAATTTCCCTTACTCAGCTCACCGCTTTCTCTTGTAGCTAGTTTTTCGTTAAAGTCTCCCATCAACCCGGTATAGTGGGTTTTGGAGAAATGCATGGCTCTAGAGATATGATCATACGTTTCCTCCACCTCTTCATCGGGATGTGCCAAGGTTGGTGCGTAAACCGTTCCTTTTTTACACTGACCTCTGTTCGTTACCAACGCTGCTGCTATTTATGGATTCGTCTTTGCTTAATTATTCTTATTACGAACTGTACCTATATATTACGAAGACTTTACCATATAAATTACGAGGAATATTATCCAATTGTTAAAATAACTTCATGGGAAATATAAAAATTCAAAGGGGTTCATTTGGACTGTGGGACAAAAAAGGACCAACATGGAAAATGCTATACGGAGTTTTTCTAAAACATTGACTCGTTATTTGAATGAAAACTCCGTTATAAGGTTATTACCTCGTTGAAAACGAGCATAATCAAAACGCCAATAACCTTCGCGTGTCATTGAAATGTCAAACAGACATTCATTATCAACCCTGTTGATACGGCGGTGTCGGACTTTTTATCGTCAGGAATCTCGTACTGTTTATTTAAAAAAAATGGAGCCAAAAATGAACTTAAAACAGGATCCAGCTTACAAAAAACTGCAAGACTTTTTTAACACAAATGCTGAAAAAATCAATATTCTTCAACTTTTTCAACAAGACGCCGACCGCTTCAAAAAGTTCAGGTATTTTGTGATATGTAATTCCCTTTTAACTTTAATTTTACCTTTACCTTTAATGATATAAATATACATTTTTAGCTTAATCACTGAGTTATTTTTCCGGTAAAATAAGTTATGTAAGTACCTTCCATCACTTTTAAATTTATGGCATAAACTTTTTCTAAAGGTCATCGATAAATAAATAGGTACAATGTCACCGGTCAATTTGGGGTTGTTCAGATTATTCCTTCGAATTCATTACATCTTAGATTTAGGTCTGTTGTGTAATAAAAGCTTAAATAAAATTTTAAATAAAAGAATATGACTCAACATTTTAAAAGTCAAATTAAAATTATTATGGTAGAGAAAATGATTAAAATTGCATTAGTTGAAATTCAGTTCCCGACATTAATGAAGTTTTTCTGAAATCAATATCTCAAAAATCCCAAATTTTAGATCTTGTTTTGAGTGTTTCAATTAATACATACATGTAAATTATGTACATTCTAGGATTTGCAACGCACTTATGATGTTTTAATGTCTTACATTATTTTTAAACTTATATCCAATTTGTATACTCAAATAATCCAACCAACAATTATAATTTAGTTCTATAAAAGGTGGCAACAAAACAAATTTTATGCACTGTATATTTAAGTGAAAGGTGCATTTCTTCTACAAGGTTTTTTACAATTAATGAAATGTTAATTTTATATGAAATAAAGTTGACAAATGACCACACAGGCCAACTGATGGTAAGTGGATACTGTGGGGCACATACACCCCTCAATCTAACCTTGATTAGGAATCAAAAGTAGATGCATGGTCACCTCTGAGAACCTAGATAGAATGCATCATTAAAAAAGTCTCACCATACGAAACACGGCACCATTAAGCAACTATTTTATGCTGGTATTTTGTGAGAGTGTGGTCCTTCCTTGGTGAAGCCAAACCATTCTTGCTGCAGCCTGCAGACATAGTATAGCTGCAGTGGGGCTTTACCACATTATGATAAGTGCAATATGACACCATGATGAGATCATGTATATAAATTAATATTATTTTCAATCATACTTACCATAGTACTAGAAGCGGCTGTTTAAGAATATCCACTACCCCATATTATAGTCACAGGTTTCGTAAGAGCGGATGAAGGGAAACAAACCAGATGTTTAGCAGCATATTCTAATAACCACTAAAAATAAAAAGTTGCCATCCCACCTACCAAGCATAGTAACTATGGCAAATATCCCTCTTATTAAGCAATACTCCGTTTATCCACCCTAAGAAATCCATCCTAGGGTAGATACTCGGAAATCCGTATTCGTTTATCCACCCTAGACAGGGTGGATAATCGGAATTCGCTTTTTGTTTGTTGCTCTGCCTTTCCGCCCCAAGTATAGTTCAACAGAAAATATATTCATGCTTTAACATGTATTGATTAATTTTTAATAACAACAAACTTAAACAAAAAAAAATATTTTACATATTGCATTTAAACCAAATTAACTTCCCCATTTAAATAATAATAAGTAATTTATAAATTCTGCAATATGTCCAGGAAATTACCAACGCTAATTTCATTATTAAGTAGACGTATGTCCTGTATAAAATTGTCTCTTTTAAAATTTTTGCAATTGTTTTCTAAATTCCTTTGTTACTAGTAGTAACTTACTACAGAAGTGTTAGCAAAAAATGGGCATTTTTTAGAAGCAATCCAAAACCTTTACTAAATTTGGATGGTTGACTTTAACTTCATTTGAAACAGATTTATGCCAGGATTCTAATGAATTTGTAGTTCTGTGAGGCACTACGAATGAATTCCAAACAGCCACATAATTTTGTCCATTGAGCCATGTCTTTTATATTTCACAAATGCCATCATATTATCATCATTCTTCAAAAAAGATTTTACAAACACCCATCATCTTTCTATAAACGACTGTACACAGGCGAAGAAAAAAATCGGAAGAAAAATAATATACACAAATTCCAATTATCCACCCTGTCTGCGGTGGATAAACGGAAGACACATTTTCGGATTATCCACCATAGGGTGGATTTCTTAGGGTATATAAATGGAATAACCCAGCAATATATGAGGGCTATGTTCAGCAGTGGATTTTTTTACTCTTTCTTTCTTTCTGCTGTAATGATATACGAATGAACATATTAACATGAAAATTGTTACAATAATTATCATGTAAAGAAAACTACCAGTTAATACAAATACATGTAATACATATAATCAATAGGTATTCCCCAATGTAAGTGCTATGTAAGTAAAAGTGCCAGGTTAATAAGTGAAATAAAAGCAATTGTGAAATATGTGTGTTTTACGTAGTAGAGCCATGCTGCAGTTATATTAGTAGCACGAATGGGTCGGCTCAACCGGGGAAGGACCACACTCTCACACAATACCAGCGTCAAATAGTAGCTTCATGCTGCTGTGTTTCGTATGGTGAGTTTAGAGAACCGGAAACCCTTTTTACTGGAAACGAGGCATTTCACCTTAGTCCTCACGGATGACAACGCATCTGCATTTTGATTCGTAATCGAGGATAAATGTAGATGTCTATGGGCCAAAGCAACCACTTAACATCGGGTGGACTGTGTGCTCGTTTGTCATCCTATTCTATAAAAAAAAATAAAAAAAATGTTTCATAGTACAAATACTCTGGTAATCATCATGTCGAGAAACAATGCTGATTTTAATTCTATTAATAGTATCAGGTGTTTCTTTGCGGAAATCTAATAGATTGAAGATGTTGAAATTATTTAACTAAATAATTTGCTGATCTTAGAAGTAGCGGTGTTGTGATTAGTGGTGACAGGGATAGTGCACGAAGGGAGGCTGTAGGTGCAGTATGAGAACCAGTACAATTACAGGCATTACGTCTTAGTCCTCAGCGGTGACAATACTACTTTCTAGAGCCTTTTTTGTTTGAAGTTCGCAACAGCAAAAAGAAAGAAAGAAATGTAATGTTATAAAATGTAATAAAATTAAAAGGACAAAAAACATGACAAACAGACAGATTGGTACGATTACCATCAGGAGACCTGTAAGTTCATTTGTCACTTCTGTTTATATGAAAAAAAAAATCTGTTTTTATACTGAATCTTGTGTGTAATTTATATGATTTTTATATTTCTTCTTATATTATGTATTTTAGTACCACAAATATATAATAAATAAAAAGAACACATGTATTTTTTAGGTTCTTTGTACTTTCTAGAAATATGACAAAATTGTGTTAATTTTTTATTTAGTCTCAGACTTCAAACACCCAATGATGGAGACATCTTGCTGGATTACTCAAAGAACCGTGTTGATGCCACAGCTTTCGACCTCCTCCTAAATCTGGCTAAAAGTCGTGGCGTCGAGCAAGCTAGAGATGCTATGTTTTCAGGTAAACAAATGATAATATTATAATGATTTTGTATGAACAACCAGCCTTACATAATGTGTGTAAAATAGGTGTACCTACTGCTGTACTTCAAATGGGATGTGACAAGAACTGAAGACCCATTTACTGGTGATGAGGCAGTCCATCTTAGCCCTTAAGTTTTTTAATATCTTGCCCATTGTACCGTTTTGTAATATCTTTTTAATTCTGTGCCGATAAACACATTTATCTTCGACAATACCCTTATTCATATAAAAAAAGTTATTTTTAGCCAACTTACCAAAAAGAAGGTCAATGCTCAATGTCAATCAGACTCAATTTAACTGTTAGTAAACTGTCTTTTTTGTGTTTATGTTACGCGATATCATTGTTCATCGTAAATCTGTTTAATGTTTCTTTTTTTATTAAATAGGTTATTAGTTCAAGGGTACCAACCATATAAATTTTGAAGAAGGAAAAGATCTTTCTAATGTAACAATTAAGACGACTTTCTAGTTAGTAACAACTAGAAAGTCGTCTCACATTTCACAACCTCAAGGTAACAACTTATTACCTTGAGGTTGTGAAATTACTGAATGTGGATTAAGTATAATTTTTTGGCCAAAAAATTAAACTTTTTTGTTAAAGAAAACATAGACACCGATTTCAAACAACTGAAGAGAATAAAATCATTTTCATTTAACAACTTCTGATGAAGCCAGGCCTTTTAGATTCTTCTAATATACTATGTCTTCCAATGTCTAAAGCTGGAAATTACACTAGCCACAAAAATTAAGAGATAATAGGAAAAATTCTAAATTTTTGGGTGATTTCCTATACGATCATTATTTCCTGAGTTATTGATTATCAAAGTCAAAAAATCTTTTTTGCTTTGATTGACTCCGCGGCAAATTATCGTACAGTCTTTTTGATTACGTCAAATTCAAGGGTATTAAATTTCCTAAACGAACTTTCCAATGAAATAATGAAAAAAAAATTTTTTTTGAAGCCCGGTAGATCTTTTTTTAGACAAACAGAAATTTGGAAAAATTAATTTTTCGGTAGTTTCCTTAGGAGCCCTCCAGAACCAAACATGATGAAAAATTTTTCATGGCCAGATCTGAATACTGGACACTTGGAGCTATTATTGGCTTTCTTTCGCTGTACAATCATTTTCCTTGGAGTTACAGCTTTTTTTAAAGCAATGGGTGATTACTTAATGTGGATTAATTATAATTTTTTGACCAAAAATTAAACTTTTTTGTCTAAGAACACGTAGACACCGATTTCAAACAACTGAAGAGAATAAAATCATTTTCATTTAACAACTTCTGATGAAGCCAGCCCTTTTAGATTCTTCTCATATACTGTGTCTTCCAATGTCTAAAGCTGGAAATGACACTAGTCACAAAAATTAAGATATATAGGAAAAATTCAAAACTTTTGTGTGATTTCCTATACGATCATTATTTCCTGAGTTATTGATTATCAAAGTCAAAAAATCTTTTTTGCTTTGATTGACTCCGCGGCAAATCATCGTGCAGTCTTTTTGATTACGTCAAATTCAAGGGTATTAAATTTCCTAAACGAGCATTCCAATGAAATAATGAAAAAAAATTTTTTGAAGACCTTTTTTAAGACAAACAGAAATTTGGAAAAAAATATTTTCGGTGGTTTCCTTAGGAGCACTTCAGAACCAAACATGATGAAAATTTTTCATTGCCAAATCTGAATACTGGAGCACTTGGAGCTATTATTGGCTTTTTTGCTGTACAATCATTTTCCTTGGAGTTACAGCGTTTTTTAAAGCAATGGGTGACAAATGAGCACACAGTCTACCTGATGGTAAATGGATGCTCTTAGACATTCACATTTATCCTCAACTAAAGACCAGAATGCCTCGATTCCAGTAAAAAGGGTATCCGGTTCTCTACACTCTCCATAACACAGTAGCATTACGCTGCTATTTTAAGCTGGTATTCTGTGAGTGCGTGGTCCTGCCCCAGTCGAGCTGACCCATTCGTGCTACAACTATAATATAGCTGCAGTTTGGCTCTACAACGTAAAAGATTGTTGAAAATCACCCAAAATTTAGATTTTCTTTTATCCCTTAATTTTTGTGACTAGTATAATTCATTATTTTAGTTTTTATTCAAAGTTTAATTTTTTGTACTTTGTAGTCAAAGTGAATATTAGTTTTTAACTCTGATTCTATTAATAACCGATACCATTAAATCCACTGATGAACACAAGCCTGCTCACAGATTGTCTCATAGTGGGGTTAGCATCTACGCTTGGCAAGCGGGTTGACAACAGAGTTTTTTACTTTTTTAGCTGTTGGAAGCTGCGACAGCATATCTCCTGGAATGTTTTCCTCTGTCAATCTCTTAAGACAGCCCACGATACAATATAGGGTAGTGGATACGTACAAAATCATTAGGTAACGAATATTCTAACTGCTCATTTTTTAGTTGAATAAAAACAAAATGAAAGGGTTGCATTATACATGACATTAATGGTTAATAGAACAAGCTTACCTACTTATATGATTTTGATCATGTATTCTTTGACTACTAACTATTAAACAAAGGTATCAAAATTAATTAACAGGAGGCGCTCTTTAACGAAGTAAGCCACACCTTAGTATTATTCATATTCACATGGATTTTTGTTAATTATTTTACTACGTGTGAGATACGATGCAAAAATAAACATGGCTTAATAAATGCTGCAAACATTGGTAATATCGTCAATACTTCTTATCATAACCAACCTTATGTTCCCAGGTGAAAAGATAAACTTCACGGAGAACCGTGCGGTGTTGCACGTAGCTCTGCGCAACCGTCAAAACAAACCGATTTTGGTAAATGGGGCGGATGTCACACCTGACGTGAATGCTGTCCTTGCTCATATGAAGGAGTTTTCTCAACAAGTCATAGGCGGTCAGTGGAAGGGGTATGTAGTGATTATTTGATGATTAAACACTTAACTATAGTAATATCAATGCTTGTCTTTCGAATAATTTGAATCAAGATAATCCTTCCAAAAATATAAGTGTGAAAAAGAGACAAGTCCCTAGTCCAGTACAAACGCCCTGGGTTGTCGGTCTCTCAGCTGTGGCGTGTTCCGTTGCAGTTCCTTGAATCATTACTATAGCAATGTACAGCATTCTTCAATTGATTTAACCCTTCAGCCCCCAAGCGGTCTCATGAGACTGCGGCCATATTCCGTCAAATCCCTAGCGGTCTCATGAGGTCGCACCCACCCACAGCACTTTAACCCATAAAATCTTATATGTAGAGACTACATTTCTATGAAGAAGTTTGGCATTATATAATCAATATGAAATGTAATGATTTCTTATATTTACGCGAACACTACACATGATTAACACTACATTTACGGATTTTATCGCGTTTATTTTTACTTTTTATTTACTTTTATTTTTAATTCCCGAAGTTTCGGGCGCTTTCCAGCACCCATGGTCACGGGGACTGGAAAGCGACCGAAACGTCGGGAATTAAAAATAAAAGTAAATAAAAAGTAAAAATAAACGCGATAAAATCCGTAAAAGTAGTTTTAATCATGTGTAGTGTTCGCGTAAATATAAGAAATCATTATGTAAACCAGTACGGACTGGAAATAGCAGTCCCCCGTGACCATGGGTGCTGGAAAGCGCCCGAAACGTCGGGAATTAAAAATAAAAGTAAATAAAAAGTAAAAATAAACGCGATAAAATCCGTAAAAGTAGTTTTAATCAATATGAAATGTTCTATCCTCTAGTGCAATAAAAAAACTGTTATCCTATGAATACTTATTTATAATCTACGTTTATTTCGTACGCCATTTTTGCGTGAATGTTATTGTGTTGATTTCTGTAGTGTTTTATTAGTGTTGTATAGTGTTTTATTATAAAATTGTAAGGATAGTTTTTGTGTGAATATAATTTATCTTTTACGTATATAATTTTGAGTAATATATATTGAAATAATTGTGATTTTCACGCTGCCGACATTCCCTTGGTATGTTTTGTTTTTGTTATCTAAATACAATAGTCTTTTTGTAATAAACTAAAACCTGACTTTTATATAGAGAATTTTGTATAGATTTTATAATGCCATAGTTCTTCATAGAAAAGTAGTCTCCAAATATAAGTTTTAATGGTATTAAGTGCAGCGGGTGGGTGCCGTCGCATGCGTCCGCTCGGGATTTGCCGGGCGCATGTGAATTTTAAGGGGCCTGAGGGGTTAAAATATAATTTGTTACATTCTTTGATAATACATTTGTATCATGGCAAGTTTTTTATATAATTTTTGTATAAATTGTTGTGTAATAATAATAATAACTGTTTTCAAATAAAGAAAGCGACATATGAATCGCTGCCGTCGAAGACAAAGATGAAATATGCCTCACATCCTGTGATTATACGAGCTCCCTTTAAATTTGCAAATAGCAGTGAGCACTTCTGCTAGGCGGCAGGAATTATTGAGAGGGGTGGCCTTGGTAAAGCTAATAATGTGTATTGCAAAAATATTACTTGTGATGGGATTTAAACACAGAACTTCGATCTGGATTACGATGACTCTAATCACTGTCCATCTTATTACATTTTTTTGTACACTTACTGTACTGTTAACTGACCCTGAGAGGAAAAAAGTTAATCCTGATGGTACATTATTGATGTATACGTTTCAATAATGTAGCATCTTAAATTTATAATGTGACAAGCAATAAACAATTTGAATTTTAAAAACGTTTTTGTTAAAAGATAAATACCGAGTATCCTCCATAGAATATAATAAATCACTATGTTTGGGATCCCCGAATTATGGTTCAATGTTATTATTTAAAGCATGCTCTATTCAGATACACTGGAAAACCAATCACTGACGTCATCAATATCGGTATTGGGGGCTCTGATCTCGGCCCTTTGATGGTGACGGAGGCTTTGAAACCTTACGCTAATCACCTTAAGGTAATACACGTTTGTTTTCATAAATTTAATTAATAATTAAAGGAATTGCATTTGTTTTGATTGAACCCTTCGCTTGGTGTTCTTATAAATTGTTGCGCGCCTAAGTTGACGTCATGTACCCGGCACAAGCGCCATCTAGTGTCGGGGACGAGAGCGAGGGGAGCTTTCCAGAAAAAGACATCACTAATCTTTCAACCGACAGCGCCATCTAATATCGAAACGAAGAACTAAGCTTCTAGAAGCCCGACACTTGAACTTTCGACGCCTAGTCGATTGGCGCGCGTATTTACTTATATTCTGGATGTTTCGCTGATAATGTGTATTTAAAGGCGCTGCAAGATGCGATCGGGGAAGTATTGAATTTGGCGAGACAAGCGAAGCTCGGAGCGGAATAAAGTGAATCAGTGTGATTAATTATTAGTGTTTTAACTTTAATTAGTGTAAAGTGAATTAAAGTGTTAATTTTAGTAATTCAATCGGCAGTTTTTAATCGTCACGAACCTCAAGCTCGTAACAATATGTTATTTTAAAAATCGTGCCAAAATCCATATACAACATAAATTCAGATTATGTTATTAATTTAAAAATAATTTATTAATAGGTAGGTATGCATTTTGATTCGTAATCGAGGATGTAGATGTCTATGGGCCACAGCAACCACTTACCATCAGGTGGACTGTGTACTCGTTTGTCACCCGTACCCTATAAAAAACCCTTAATCAATGATGACCTTGTTAAATCGACAATATATCATTTGTTTTAAGGTGCATTTCGTGTCGAATATTGACGGCACTCATCTCGCAGAAGTACTGAAACGTCTAAATCCAGAAACGGCGCTGTTCATCATAGCCTCAAAGACCTTCACTACGCAGGAAACCATTACCAACGCTACTTCTGCAAAGAACTGGTTCTTAGATGTGGCTAAAGATGTAAGTAATTTTTATAAAACTTTAAAATCAATTTCTTATAGAAGGTGGGACTAAAGATATTTATATTCAACCTCATCTCCGTCTTCTATAAGAAAACTGACATTTTTCTTCGCATTACAAGAATTTACTATAATATGTTGTGACCGCATCTTGTTATTAAAGTCAAAACTTTTAAAACTTATTTAAAGCAAGACCTTCTCGGGGAAGAACCGGTAAGAAACTCTGGGGTCTTTTTTTAAGCAGTAACACTACGGGTTAACAATAATTGATTTTTGCGAGTGAATCTGCTAGTAAGCTTAAATGACTTTTCTGCCTGTCTATATTACGTAATTAGCTAACATAACAATATCTTATTGTGACCATATCAATATTAAAAATCTTTTGTGTTTTAAATAAATAGATTGACTTGGCAATTGCACTAAGCAATCGAATTTAATATAATATGTATTACTTGTGAGATACATTGTGTTTTCATGCGATGGCCCAAGTCAATCTATTTATTTAAAACATAAAAGATTTTTAATATTGATATGGTCACAATAAGATATTGTTATGTTAGCTAATTACGTAATAACTTAAGACAGAAGGACCCTTAAGTAGGAACTGAATAAATTAACCGACTTGGTTTATTACTGACAACTAAAGTGGATGTTTTTGATGGCATAAAGTTTTATATTAATGTTTCAAATTCAAATCCCTCAACGGCGAAGGACCAATTGCGCAAAAGTTGTGTTGAAATTTACGGCTCCGTGGCACGGGGCCGCGGGTTCGAATCCCCCATTGAACGAGTATTTGTACGGTCTACAAATAATTGTTCTAGGTCTGGATGTTGGTCCTTGTGCAGTAAAAAATCCTGGTGTAACGTTAACTCCCTAAAATTTTCTCCTATATTATGGAGGCAGTTTACGTACATAAATTTCACGAAGACTTTTTACACAAGATTATTTGTATGCTTTACAAATACTTGTTCTGTACTCCATGGTTGGCATTTAAATCTAGGACCACACAGTATTAGTCATGTATTTTGACTACTTAAACGCGCGGTTGATGTGATATTATATTATAGTTTTGAATACTTTTCAGCCATCGGCGGTAGCGAAGCATTTTGTAGCACTCTCCACTAACGCTGAGAAGGTGACCGCCTTCGGTATAGACTCTAAGAACATGTTCGGCTTCTGGGATTGGGTTGGTGGAAGGTTGGTATTGTTTTAACTTCATCTTTATTTTTACATTTAAATATTAGAAACTACTTCATATCTAATAATTTATAAAATATCTCTACTAAACATTCTTAACAAATAAAGTTAAAATGGGAAATTGTAACAAAAAAATTGAGGATCTGAAGAATCAATATTATTGTTACGTGTGGGGTGAGTAAAGATGCCGATTAGGATGAGAAATGGATGTATTTTACCCCTTTACCCTTCGGTGAGATCCTTAATAATCACAGATGTCGTAGGTCGAATTCTTGTAGTCGCTTCTCGGAGTAGAGTTCACTTTCGTGTTTGCCAGCACAGACTTTTATACTCTATAAAAGAAGTATAGAACTTTCTAGGCCTGTCCGGTCATTCCACTCTTTCAACCCGAAAGTACTAGAACACTCGGATTAATATAATTATAACAATATCTGAAGGAGAAAAGCTTTAATACACGCAGATGTAAGGTTGCTTTTTGCATTAATAATTCGAGCGTTATCTATTTTTTATCCCTTATCGTCGGGAACATTCTCGTACATTCGGTGGACAAAACGTTACTTTATTTGAAACGTTGTTTATTATTAGCTAATAAACGATCTAAATAAAAATGTAGATTAAAAATGTAATGCATTAACAAGCCATTCATATTATCGGAAAAAAACCATATCTGGAAGGTTAAAAGTTTTTTTTTCGTCGATAAAGTTACATATTTTTTTCTAAATTAATATAAAATATTTTAAAAATGAATTCGATTAAGAACTTAGTTAAGTATGTCATGTACGCGCATATCTTTTTCTGAGCATATTAAAAAGTTAGTTAAAAAATTGGTGTAGGAATTTGTGGACATATTGATTTATCAAAAGAAATCAATTGAAATTCTATGCTGAAATCTTCGGTACATTGTCTTACCTCGTTGATATTTATAGTTATTTGAAGACGGTGTTTACCTTTCAACCGACTTCAAAAAAGAGGAGGTTCTCAATTCGACTGTGTGTTACCTCACATCTTTTTTCTATGTGAACTGATTATGCTGATTCCTTTTTTATTTAAAAGTTCATGCTTGCCATATATTCCCATATAAATTTGATTAAGATCTGGCTAGTAGTTTTCGAATAATTCTTAATAATGCGTATTTAATTTACTCTGAATATATTGATGATGTTCTCATTTTATTACATTGAAGTCGGTTATACAAACTTTTTAATTTTACCACTTGTTAGTATGTGAGATTTCCATAACTGGAATTTTTTATTGATATTATATTTATATTTTTTTGTGTAAAATGTAAGCCTATTGATAATACCCACAGCTCGTACCGGTAAGCGAAGTGTAGGGCGGTTCATCATTGACCAGATCCAACTATGCCGCAAGGCTAGCGCTTCTGAGTGTTCATTTTTCCTGGCCCCATGGTATTCGTGCATCGGATATGGGAGAGTCCGGTCCGGTGCGCAGGTGAAGTTGGAGACCGCGGAAGAAGGTGCGCCATGTGTTCTGGTGCCGGCCGGCGCTGGTGGGGCCACGGATGTGTGCGAAAGCATTCCCGTGGCCCTGTCAATATTCAGGAACGCGCTTCATGACATTCTTTAGGGGAGGCAATGAGATGCTAATAATGATATATATATATATATATATATATATATATATATATATATATATATATATATATATAATATTGATTTATTTATTTAGCATTCACTACACATTTTATGGCCCGGTAATATGGCGCGAAGAATCGGTTCTTCGGTTTCGGTTCGGAGACAACCGTTGGTGAAGAAAGATTCTAGAGTGACAGCCTCGTACTGGCAAGCGTAGTGTTGGGCGACTCCCATTAAATGGAGTGACGACTTGATGAAAAACGCAGAAGATCCGATGGCTTAGGACGTCAATTTTGGCGATCTATGGGGGTTAATTGATAGAATCATGCGTTACTTTGCGGAAATCCATTATAATAAAAATATAAATTACTTCGCAACCTTCCACTAACTAAATACAATGATGTGTCTTACCTGGATTGAAGAGCACCTCCCGCCCTCCCTCGATTGCATGCACTAACTCCGTCACCACTAGTCCCAGCACCACTACTCCCAACACCACTACTCCCGGCACCACTACTTCCAACACCACTATTCCAGATAATACACACCATCGACGATAATACGACACGTGTTTCGCCTCTACACGAGGCACCCTCAGGTGATGTAGACTTTACGGCGGCTGACCGCTAAGTCACTCTATCTAAGATCTATGGGGGAGTAGGGTCAGCAGCGAAATTATGACTACCTGTAGTAATAATAAGATTACCTTGTCTTGGCGGAAGTCAGTCAATTCGTCATCCGATAAAGATATTTATATATATATATATATATATATATATATATATATATATATATATATATATATATATAAAAAATATATATATACATATTTATATTTTATTATAATATTACGTATAAGCTGAAAATAAAAGATTTCGAGCAAAATACCTGATATACTGTTAAGGTACACTACGGGGTAGCATAACTTAGTTTTAATGATTTGAGTGAGATGAATTAATCAAAAAAATTATACTTCAGAAGGGTTAAATTGTCAATTTGTTCTTTTCATCTTTAGATATTCCTTGTGGTCGGCCATCGGCCTGTCCATTTCACTATATATCGGATATGATAACTTCGAGAAGCTGCTAGAAGGTGCCAACTACATGGACCAACATTTCACCACAGCACCTTTGGAGAAAAACGTAAGGTTTTTGTTTAATATCTCATCTTCCATCTTGATGCTTTTCTCCATAATTGTCTGAATGTTTGTCTCTACTATTTTGGAAAGTCAAAATGTTTTCAATCCAAGGTCTCAAATGTTTGTGGTAATGGCCCCTATTTTTGACTTTGAATCTCCTACAAACTAATTTGTTTAAATATAATAAGGGTGACAAACGAGCACACAGTCCACTTGACTTGTAAGTGTATCCTGTAGCCCATACTACATTTATCCTTGATTAAGAATCAAAACGTGGATGCGTTGTCACCCCTGAGGACTAAGATGGAATACTTCGTTTCTAGTAAAAAAGGGTCTCCGAATAATGATTTCTTATTAATACATCATTCCATTTTTCAAGGGTCTCCGAATATCTACACTCACCATACCAAACACATCAGTAATAAGCTGCTACTTTACGCTGGTGTTCTGTGAGAGCGTGGTCCTTCCCCGAGCCGACCCATTCGTGCTACAACCATAATATAGCTGCAGCGTGGCTCTACCACGTATAAAAACGCTTTGTGACTAGCTATCTGCACAGGATAGTATTGCACGATGTGTGCAGAAGCTCAGGTGCACCCTTTTGTCTCACTCATCTATAAAAGGCTGTGCCGTAGTTTCATTTACTAACAATAAGCCAGTTCTGTGCACCGTGTAGTGTCGATAAAAGAATATTCACTACCTTATATCATCCCGTGGGTGTCGTAAGAAGCGACAGAGGGAAACTGAACTAAGAAGAAGGGCAGTAACATTTTTCCGATAACAACAGAATTAAAAAAAATTGCGGTTGTTAACCCGCTTGCAGAGCATCGTAACAATGACAATTATTCCTCCTATGACTCAATCAACGGGTGAGGTCTATGTTAAGCAGCGGACGTGGATGGATTGTAATGATGATGATGAAACCAGTACTGAGTAGTCCGATAGGTGCCATCCTATTGGACTATCCAGCAACAAAACTCGAGAGATCTTTGTGCTTTTTGAGGCACGGTGGTAAAACATTACCAACTTCTAGACTCTGAGCTGCTACTGAGAAATTTTCTTGTTAAAAAAACTGAATAACAGATTTAGCCCGACCCGGGATCTGAACCTAAGACCACATAATCGGGAGTCGCACTTACAACCACTAGACCAACAAGTTAGTTGATTTTTACAATACTTATTGTATAAGATCGGCTGATATAGATTCATTGTTTTTCTATTCTTTTGGGACTTCTCTTTTTTTTTTAAACGTTACCTCCACACTAGGATTTTCTCCTGTATCGTAGGGGTAGTTTACATACATTAATTTCACAAGGACAAACATCCAGACCCGCAACAATTACTTATAGGCTATACAAATACTTGTACCGTGCGTGATTCGAACCCGCGCTGAAAAATTAGCGCTGTAACTCATTACTAAGCCACTGCGCCACGGAGCTGTCAAAATCTTTAGAGACATGCCAGCCTCATTGTTCCCCAAAATTTGTAAATTATATATGTATACAGCTTATGAGTTCTGCGCTCACACTAATCCCGTTAGTATTTACTATTTATAATTTTATTTTTCTAACGCAGGCGCCAGTTATCCTAGCGTTACTCGGTATCTGGTACCACAACTTCTACGGAGCGGAGACACATGCCCTTTTGCCATACGATCAATATTTACACAGGTACATATTCTTTTTCATATGGTGATTTATTTATTGTGGTTTAAGATATTTATTTGTCAAAAGAATTATAATTCACTTACATGAAAAATGTACAACACTAACATAATTTTATATTAAACGGCACGACACACAAACAAACTGATAACAAAATAAAAATACACCATTTTTTATAGTCTATACAAATAATGTTTAAAAGTTATGAGTACATAGTAAAATAATGAAAGAAGACTACAAAGATTAAAAGAAACGTTCATGACGGTTACTTTATTTGGTTCGATCGCCGAGTGCAAAATTATTCATATACCCAATTTAATCTTCACTTAATCGAATTTACGTTGAACAATAGAGACTGGAAGTGATATTATGCATTCTTGATTGAGCGCAATTATTACTTGGTCAATGGCTTAATGATAATTAATAAATGACCTAATGAAATTTAATAACTATATCTGTATTTATATGTATACTTGTTAAGAAGTCCTTCTTTTAATGTTTTGAAAAGTAATATCCGCAGAGTGTGACAAACTTTATGCTTACATACTAGTTTACTTTACTTTACTTTTTTTTCTATTTATTTATTTATTTAGGGGCTTTTTATCCCGAACGGATATGTCAGCTCCATCCTACGCTGATTGAAATGACACACAGTTAAAAAAAAACCTTTTTTGAAAAGAACTAGAATTATTAGTTGTGTTGTTCCAAATTTATTGTTACCAGATTCGCAGCATACTTCCAGCAGGGAGACATGGAGAGTAACGGCAAGTACGTGACGCGGGAAGGTCAACAGGCAGACTACTCCACCGGACCCATTGTCTGGGGGGAGCCGGGGACCAATGGACAACACGCCTTCTACCAACTGATACACCAAGGAACTAGGTAAAATTCTTTTTCCTCTAACTTGTGTTTTATATATGTGGTTATTACAAGCATACTTTAGTGTAAAAATAGCTAATACCCCATACCGTCTCGTACCGTACCGTCTACTTTTGTATATTGTTACGAGCTTGAGGTTCGTGACAATAAAAATTGCCGATAGGATTACCTAAATTAACACTTTAATTTTCTTTACACAAATTAAAACTTATAACACCAATAACTAAGCACACTAATTCACTTTATTCCGCTCCGAAGCTTCGCTTGTCTCGCCAAATTCAATACTTCCCCGATCGCATCTTGCAGCGCCTATAAATATAAATTAGCACCGAAATATCCAGAATATTCAAGTAAACACGCGCAAGGTACCGAGAGTTCGAGTTTCAACTTCTAGAAGTTTAGTTCTTCGGTTCGAGACTAGATGGCGCTAGTGCCGTCGACTAAGGCGCGTAACACTGCCCCCTCCTAAGACATGCTCGTCCCGAGCATTATCGGCCCCATAATAACGCACCAGGCGATCCACATGGACGATCTTAGGAGTCCCTCTTGCGCATTTCTGTATCCGGTAGGTTACATCGTTGATCCTGGTCACAATCCGGTACGGGCCGTCCCATTTAGCTTGAAGCTTAGGAGATTTCCCTTTGCTGCGGACTGGATTGTGCAACCACACTAGTGAACTTCGTCGAACCCTTTGTTGTTCATTTTGCGGTCGTACCGGGTTTTCATCTTTTCAGACATTTGCTGGCCCGATTGTCTGACGTGCTCATAAATGTCATTCATTTTGTTCCGCAAGTCATTTGCATAATCGGTTATACTACGTGGGGCATCAGGTGGTATCCCGGTGATCAGGTCTGCAGGCAGCCGTAATTCTCTTCCAAAGTTTGCGAAAGCTGGTGTCACTGCTGTACTTTCGTGAACAGCGCTTCGATATGACAACAAAAACGGTTGTATGTGCTTCTCGCAATCTCGTACGTACCTCTCCAATGTCTGATTAAATCGTTCTACCATTCCATCAGATTGCGGATGATAAGAATGTTCTTGTTTTATGAGTACCCATAACTCGGCAAGTTTCCTGGAATATTTGAGATTCAAAATTCCTTCCTTGATCGCTGTGAATCTCTAAAGGTACTCCAAAACTACAGAAGACTTCATGAACTAGTTTATCTGCAACTGTTGAAGCTTCTTGATTTGGAATGGCGAAGACTTCTGGCCACTTAGTGAAGTAATCCATCACAACCATGAAATACTTGTTACCGCTTTCACTCTCCGGAAACGGCCCCGCCACGTCAATGGCTATTCTCTCCCATGGTGCACCAACATTGTACAACTTCAATGCACCTCTACTACGAGTCTGAGGTCCCTTTACAGCCGCACAACTTGTACATTTGCGACACCATTCCTCGACATCGTTTCGACAATGGACCCAGTAAAACCGTTCTCGGATCTTCAGTAGAGTTCGTTTAACTCCCAGATGGCCTCCTGAATAATCATTATGGTAGAGCTGTAGAACACCCGCTACTTTAGCTTTAGGGACAACCATTTGCAAGTGACAGCTGTCTCCCCGAACATTTTCCCATTTACGGCACAGAACTCCATCCTGAAGCAGCAAGCTGTCCCATTGGGCCCAATAGCTTTTAGTGGTCGAACTCATCGCTGAGACGTCGCTCCACTTGGGGTTGGGAGCACTGGCCTTCATCCATTCCAGGATCGGCTTGATGTCCGGATCTTCCTGATGTGCACGTTGTAAGCTGTCCTTCCACTCGTTGCTGAGGTGGTCTGCCCTGAGCATCCTCACGGATACCACTTCCTTACTCTCTGGCCTGGTACAATGTTTGCAATCTTCAGGACAAGGTCTTCTTGACAATGCATCTGCGTTGCCATGAGATTTACCGCTGCGATGTTCGATCTCAAAGTCGTATTCCTGCAGTAGTTTAATCCACCTCGCAACTTGTCCTTCTGGATTTTTAAACTGCAATAGCCATTTTAGTGCAGCATGGTCAGTTCGTAAGTGAAATTTACGCCCCAGAAGATATTTGCTAAAATGCTGCAACGACTTTACCACAGCTAGCAGTTCGCGTCTTGTGACACAATAGTTCCTTTCCGGTTTTGACAACGACTTGCTGAAGTACGCTATCACGACCTATTGGTCACCATTCCGTTGAGACAACACACCGCCAAGTCCTATATCACTTGCGTCTGTGTCAACTATAAATTCTTTGCTTGCATCAGGGTATCCCAAAATAGGTATTTTGCACAGACGGTCCTTGAAATCCTGGAATGCGATATTGCAACTTTCATCCCAGCAGAATGTCGCTTCTCCTCAGTTAGCTTATGCAGAGGTTTGGCTATATCTGCAAAGTTCTTCACAAATCGCCGGTAATAGGAGCACAAACCCAAAAACGCTCTAACCTGCGTCTTGTCTTTTGGAACCGGCCAATCCTTTACAGCTGCGATTTTCTCTGGATCCGTGCGGATACCTTCTTCCGACACTACATACCCCAAAAAGTTGACTTGCCGTTTGAATAGTGAACATTTCTTCGGACTCAACTTGAGGTTGGCACTCTGAATCTTCATGAGCACGCGTTCCAGGTTTTGTAGGTGTTCCTCAAACGTACGGCCCACGATGATGATGTCATCCAAGTAGACCAGACAGGCATCGCCAATTAGCCCGGTAAGTACAAGTTCCATCAGCCTTTCAAACGTTGCTAGAGCATTGCACAACCCAAACGGCATTACTTTAAATTGCCACAGACCCTTTCCCGTCGAGAACGCAGTTTTCTCCTTGTCCTTAGGGTCAATTTCAACTTGCCAGTAGCCATTTTTAGATCCAGCGTGCTAAAGCACTTTACTCCTGTAAGCATGTCCAGCGTGTCGTCAATTCTTGGCAAGGGATAGCTGTCCTTCTTAGTAACGTCGTTCAGACGGCGGTAGTCAACACAAAACCGCATGCTGCCATCCTTCTTCTTTACCAGTACCACGGGTGAACACCATGGACTAGATGAAGGTTCAATAACACCATCCTTCACCATTCCCTCAATCATGGTTTCCACTTCCTTTTCACGTGCTACCGGCAATCTTCTTGGCCGCTGACGGATAGGCAATTCTTCACCTGTGTTTATTTTGTGTTGAACTAAGCCAGTCTTTCCTATGTCAGCATCGTTTGATGAGAATACATCGGCATACTTGAGTAACAACTTCTTCGCTTTGACCATTTCATTCGGGGAGAGAACGCTGCGACAGTCTTTTAAAAGTGTGCTCACTCTCGTTTGTGCATCCTTGCTGGGGGTCCCAGTCGATAGATATTGGCACCGACGTAACCAATCCACTTCCTCACAAGTAGCAACCAGTGTGCCTTTTTCTATAATCTGTTCCTGGCCACAAAGGTTCAGCACACGTACTCTTGAGATGTTAGTGGTTCTGACCAAGGTTCGAGCCACTTTCCATGGAAGGTCATTTTCTAACCTTTCCACGAGTACACAACGATGAGGTTGCCCAGGATTCCGAGGAAGAATTTCCGATCTCGGCGGAAGAACAATCTTCTCAAGGCTGTACACGTTCCCTGGTAACGCTTCTTCCACAAAAAGTTCCTCTTGTCAACATTTCAAGACACCTTGCTTAACGTCAATCGCACAACAATTCTTCCTCATGAAGTCTAGGCCCAGGATGCAGTCGTCCATTATATCAGCCACGATGACATTATGCAGGTAGATCATGTTGCCTAGCTTCAACTCCATCTCTTTCTCTCCACGGACAGGTATACGCTGACCGGTGGCTGTTACCAAATTAATGCGTTCTCGGTTGTATGCGGAGTCCCCAAGGAACTGACTTATTAAGTTGGGAACTAACAACCGTACGAGAGGCTCCAGTGTCTATGGTCAGTTTACACGGCATTCCGTTGACCTCGCCCTTGATGATTAGACTGTTCCCATCATGGGTTTGTGAGATCGAGATCCTTGGGGCTCTTTTAACATCAGCCAGCACCCGCCCCGCAGTTCTGGCTTTTACTCGTTTCCCTGCTGCTACTGGGCGGTGCTGTTGGCCGCACTACCCTCCTGAGGTCGTTCAACTTCCCTTTCTAGGGTTCGCTTAGGGCAGCTGGATCGAAGATGGCCCTTTTCCCCACAGCCATAGCAGCACCTAGGGCTGTATCCTCTGTTGCGGTCGCGAACTGTAGCTGCTGCAACCTCCCTTACGCGATGGGAACGATGATCCTGCCGCACGGCTTCCACCTCTAGTGCATGGGCCAAGGCGTCCTTAAGCGTCTCGTGGTTCCCGAGCCTCACAGCAGCTCTGACGTCCAGGTCGCGGATTACGTCGATGAATGTCTGCACCAGGTTCCCTTCAATGAGCGCAGGTACAGACCGGTATGCTTTCCGCACCAGCTTCTCCACCTCTAGAGCCCACTGCTGCAGGTTTTCGTTGATGCGCTGCACGCGATCTTTAAGCTGCGCACGAAAGACGTGTTCCAGGTGAGCGTCGCCATATCTCGCCTCCAATGCCTCAAGGAGTTGCTCATAAGTCACTTCCTCCCCGAGAGCTTCCAGAACTGTTAAGGCCTGGTCGCGCAGGCCTAGTGTGAGAGCAGTCATGGCCTGACTTTTATTCCAGCCGTTCGCCTTCATAACAGCCTCGAACTGGAGTTTGTAGGCTGACCAGGAAGAAGTCCCGTCGAACGGTGGCACTTTGAACCCACGTAGCGAAGGTGTAGTAGCTACTACGGGAGCTGTAGTTCCATCACCCAGTTTGAGGTCGTCCAGCGTTTTCTTCACGTCAGCCACCACGTAATCAACCCGATTGTTCACTTGGTCGATTTGGGTTTTAGCTTCCTTGATTTGGGTTTCAGCTTCCGACAGGCGGTTGTCATGTTGAGCAACCCTATCCTTCACCTCCCTTATCTCTTTCCCAAAGGTAGCATGAAGGTCCTTCATGAGGAGCATCTGCTCTTCCGACCGACGAGCCTGTTCCGCCTGCTGATCTTCCAACCGACGGGCCTGTTCCTCCTGTCGGCGGGCCTGTTCCTCTTGTCGGCGGGCCTGTTCATCCTGTCCGCCGCCCCGCAGCCTATCTTCCAACCGACGGACCTGTTCCTCCTGTCGGCGAGCCTGTTCCTCCTGTCGGCGAGCCTGTTCCTCCTGCTGCTCTTTCAACCAACGGGCCTGCTCCTCCTGTCGGCGAGCCTGCTCCTGCAGCATCACCATCATCATCACCATCACCATCAGCATCACCATGCAGAGCACCTAAGTCAGGTGCTGCAAATGTAGGAGCTACTGACGGGCCCGCAGCCGGCGGTGGCCCTCCGACGTCTGCGGCGTTGCACCACCAAATCTTCTTTGGTCCGTCTTCTGCTGGCGTTGACTTCGGGTACGGACACCCTCCGTTTCCTCCTTAGGTAAAATCGGCATGATTTTATCCCACTTCTGACACCAATTGTTACGAGCTTGAGGTTCGTGACAATAAAAATTGGCGATAGGATTACCTAAATTAACACTTTAATTTTATTTACACCAATTAAAACCTAAAACACTAATAAATAATCACACTGATTCGCTTTATTTCGCTCCGAAGCTTCGCTTGTCTCGCCAAACTCAATACTTCCCCGATCGCATCTTGCAGCGCCTATAAATATAAATTAGCACCGAAATATCCAGAATATTCAAGTAAACACGCGCAAGGTACCGAGAGTTCGAGTTTCAACTTCTAGAAGTTTAGTTCTTCGGTTCGAGACTAGATGGCGCTAGTGCCGTCGACTAGGGCGCGTAACAATATTATTTAAAAAAATATTTTCCTAAACTACCGCACCTAAAAATGGTTGTACGTGCTACCTGTACGAGGGTGGATTGAAAAGTACTCGGCCTAACCAAGAAAATAAACACATACTAAATCAGTTATATTTTTATTTTTCTACATAATCACCATCAAGTTCAATACACTTTTGCCACCTCCCCTTCCAAGCATTTAGACCGTTGAAAAAAAATGATTCTTCCTTAGAGTCAAAATATGCGTCTACAGCTGCTTTGATCTCGTCGTTTGTCGAAAATCTTTGACCTCCCACGTGCTTTTTTAGGTTAGGGAACAGAAAGAAGTCTGATGGTGCCAGATCAGGTGAATACGGCGGATGCGGTAACAGTTCAAAGCCACAGTTGTGAATTTCAGCCATTGACTGTACTGACGTGTGAACACGGGCGTTATCTTGATGAAACAGGACTTTTCTTCTGAGCATTCCTCGACGTTTTTCTTTTATTTCCTCTCGTAAACGACGTAGTAAGGTGCAGTAGTAATCAGAGTTTATAGTCTGACCCCTTTCAAGATAATCAATCATAATCACACCTTTCGAGTCCCAGAATACTGAAGCCATCACCTTATTTGCCGACAAAATCGACTTAGCCTTTTTAGGGGGTGGTGAACCAGGTCTTCTCCACTGTTTTGATTGTTGTTTTGTTTCCGGTGTACAGTAATGAACCCATGTTTCGTCCATAGTAACAAAACGATTCAAAAAATCATCTGCATCGGCTTCAAATAACTCCAAACAGTCGCGTGAAATAGTCAATCGGGTCCTTTTTTGTTCAACTGAAAGCAGTCGCGGAACACACCTCGCAGACACCTTGTGGAAACCCAACTCGTTGACAATGATGTTTTGAGTTCGTTCATAAGAGATGCCTATAATCTCGGCTATCTCTCTAATTTTTAATCTGCGGTCTCCCATTATTAAATCAAGTACTTTTTTAATATTTTCGTCAGTAGTTGACGTCGAAGGCCTTCCAGAGCGGGGTTCATCTTTCACACTCTCTCTACCACGCTTAAATTCTGCTATCCATTTTTGACGGATGAATATGACAGAGCACAATCGCCTAATGTACTGACCATGTCATCATGGATGGCTTTTGATGATAGCCCCTTCTTATGGAGGTACTTAATGACGGCACGCTGCTCGATTTGCTCCATTCGCGGAAATTATGTCCGATTACTTTGTTAATAAATTTATAAAATCACAACTAATTATCGCACACGTTTCGAACTTCACACAATGAACTAGTCTGAACTGAAGTAAATAATGTGGGTAGATTTGATTTTTAGAATTGAATGGATCTGTGTTAGGCCGAGTACTTTTCAATCCACCCTCGTAGCTATGGCTGCCTCTGGCTCCCGTCTTGCTACGCCACTACTGTAGGCACGATTTAAATTTGCAGAAGAAGAATAATTATGTTTACTAGTAACATAAATATATATACCCACTTGTTTAATCGGGATATGTTTAACAGATTGATCCCGTGCGATTTCATAGCGCCGGCGCAGTCGCATAATCCCATCTCGAACGGAGTGCATCACAAAATCCTGTTGGCCAATTTCCTGGCGCAAACGGAAGCCCTAATGAAGGGAAAAACCTCTGAAGAGGTAAGTACTAAATTGTTTTGTTAACATTTTAGTTTATAACGACATTGCTTTGGTAAACAATTCAATGAATTCAGAGCTCGTTCGACGATCGTTATTGTATCTGCTCCTGTCTTGACATAACCTCCCTTTAAACACTGTATATTTCTCTATATAAGGATATATGATTAGAATCATATAAAACCATTGTGGTGTATATTGCAACCCTTTCTTTTTGTTTGATCGACTAAAAAAGAGTTTGACATGTTGTTTTTGATTCTGTATGTAGCGGGTGTGTAGGAATATCCACTACCCCACATTATCTCGTGGGTGTCATAAGTAGCGACAGAGGGATACAATCCAGGTTATAGGCGGTATCGTCTTTCTAATAACAACTAAAAAAAACTGCGATTCCCAACACGCCTCCCAAGCATGGTGACTATGACAAATATAGACCACTATGAGACATTGTATAAGGGACACCTACGTTAAGCAGTGGATTTGGACAGGCCGTAATGGTGTAACACAATTCGAGGCAATCAAGCTGTAGTTTTATTCATTGATAGACGGTATTTAATTATAACAAAAAAAAAAATAGTGGAGTGCATTCGGTGTGTTAATTTAATATAAGTAAATTGAATGTTTGATTTTGTTACAATATAATGTCTTTGCCATTGTCTAAGGAAGCCAGAATGCTGTACGAAATCATCTGATTTGGACTTCAGAAAAGATGAATAAAAATGTAAATACAATGGGGGTGGCATTTTAATACTTTTATAAAACCCTATTTAAAGAAATAAAGATAAAAAAAATATAAGTGAGTACATAAAGTCGTTTGTTTTGAATCAGGCTAAAGCGGAGTTAGAAAAATCTGGAATGGCGCCAGAATCCATCGCAAAGATTCTACCTCACAAGGTGTTCCTGGGCAATCGTCCAACCAACTCTATCGTGGTGAAGAAACTTACGCCGTTCACTCTTGGAGCGCTCATCGGTACGTATACTTTGCCTCTTCCAGGGATTTTTTTATTAACTCTGGATATTGTAACTCTGCATGCATTGTGCTCTATACCTGTGTTGGCGGATTAAGAATATCTACTACTTACAGAGTAATGTGGTATTCTGCGGGTGTCGTAAGAAACGAAGGAAGGAAATGAAACAAGAGACGAGTTTTTTTAAAACGTTACCCCCACTAGGAATTTCTCCTGTATCGTGGAGGTAGTTTACAAACATAAATTGCACAAGGACAAACATCCAGACCCTGAACAATTACTTGTATGCCGTACGAATACTTGTTCCGTGCGGGATTCGAACCCTCAGCCCTCAGCGCTATAACTCATTGCTAAGCTATTGCGCCACGCCGCCATCTTCCTAATAACAAATCAGGGTAATAAGAAACTACGGATGCCAACCCGCCTGCGAAGCTTAGCAAACTATTCCAAATGTCCGGCCTACAAGGAAATCTGTGGTGGAGGCCACCTGTGTTGTTCAGCAGTGGACAGCGGGCTGTTGTAGTGCTGATGGAGGCATGTATGTCTATTTAAATCTGGATGTTTTATTTGGTCGATAACTAAAGGAGAGGAGGAGAGTAAGCTGAAGTAGCAATCACTTCAGCTTATTGGTCTCTTACACTGACCTCTATAAACAGCGTACTTGTATATATAGAGGTCAGTGGTCTCTTACCACTAATAGATTATATACTATTTAGTATATCCCAGATATTTATACGTGGAAGAGTCACGCTGCAGCTATATTATGGTTGTAGCACGAATGGGTCGGCTCGACTCGGGGAAGGACCACGCTCTCATAGAATACCGGCGTAAAATAGCAGCTTAATACTGCTGTGTTTCGTATGGTAAGTGTAGAGATTCGGAGACCCTTTTTTAATGAAAACGTGGCTTCCATCTTAGTCCTCAGGATGACAACGCATCTATCTGCGTTTTGATTCTTAATCGATGATAAATGTAGATGTCTATGGGCCACGACATTTACTTACCATCAGGTGGACTGTGTGCTCGTTTGTCACCCTTAATTAATAGTCGACTAGCGTTAAATGTGGATCGTGACGGTTACGACAAATCTTTTCTTCAATGGAATGCGCCGCATTGAATGGGTTAATGTGACTAAGTTAAATTCGTATTTGTCTAAAAACCGTAACTGTCGTAAATGAATATACAACTGCGTAGCATATTTATCGTGCCGCCCGCACGATCTACAACTATGACATAGTTTTTGTCCTGAATTGGCCGTCTAGTAGTGTTCATCGAAATCTTTAACTGATACTGATTCATTTATATAATACAATCAAACCAAATATCACACGACTGGTCTGAAACCATAGTACAAATACTATAATACTGTTACGAGCTTGAGGTTCGTGACAATAAAAATTGCCGATAGAATTACCTAAATTAACACTTTAATTTTCTTTACACCAACTAAAACTTAGAACACCAATAATTAATCACACTGATTCACTTTATTTCGCTCCGAAGCTTCGCTTGTCTCACCAAATTCAATACTTCCCCGATCGCGTATTGCAGCGCCTTTATATAGGGCTCTTCCACGAAAACATCCAGAATATTCGAGTAAATACGCGCGCAAACCGACCAAGCGCAGAAAGTTCGGGTGTGGGGCTTCCAGAAAGCTTAGTTCTTCAATTCGATACTAGATGGCGCTGTCGGTTGAAAGACTAGTCATATATTTTCTGGAAGGCTCCCCTCGCTCTCGTCCCTGACACTAGATGGCGCTAGTGCCGGGTACATGACGTCGACTTAGGCGCGTAACAATACATACATAATAAAACGGGGGAGTGGGCGGAACCCGTGTAGCCACTAAAGTGCCACTAACACGTCAATTCACACGTATAAATGTCAACACGAGATGTGTTTTGACGTTACAATGTTTCCAAATTTCGCAGGCAAATTATTTACAAAATGCCGAATTGCACGCTATTTACATATAAATATCTACAAATCGGGTGTGTAGTAGTAATTAACTGATAATACGACGTAATTGCTTGTATGTGTGCACCCGGCGACGCTAATCCTCGTACGAAATAAGGTTGACAGCCATTCTATTGTGTATTATAGTATTCTATGTCTGAGACAAAATCTTATAAATCATTATTTTCACAGCTATGTATGAGCATAAGATCTTCACACAAGGTGTGGTCTGGGACATCAACTCCTTCGACCAGTGGGGAGTAGAGCTGGGCAAACAACTGGCCAAAGCCATCGAGCCTGAACTGCAAGACAACAAGCCAGTATCCTCCCACGATGCGTCCACTAACGGACTGATCAATTTCTTAAAAGAAAACTTTGCTTAATTTGTAAGTCGTCTGCAGTTAAATTATCTGTTCTCATACTGCTTTTAATATGTTGCCCTGTTTTTTTAGTGATATGAGAATCTGATCATTACAAATTATATTTTATATTAGTGAAATCTCTCTCTAACATAACGTTGCTTTAGTAAAGCAAACACTATAACTGTAACCAATTTTCTAAAAATATAAAAAATGCAACAATTTATGTATATGCACGTTATTTATACAATATGTAACGTAATTAACGCACACCCTCAGACACCCCAATTAGTATATTATGTTATAATCATAATACATACACTGAATTTTTAGTTAAACATTTTTATGCACTGATTATTTATCAAATTAGTTATACTAATTCCGGAAGAATGTTGTGGTCACAGTACAAATCCACGAACGCAAAGACTTTAACGTGCTTGAAATAAAGTTCATTTTTCTTTATTTTTATTGAATGACAGAATTGGTAATAATACAAATAAAAGTGCACTCTTAAAAGTCTTATTGCCTTAAGTTACGGTCCATTTCAGTTTGTTTTGACTGTACAGATTTAGTGGGACTGTAATTTACGTAGTTTTAATTATTTTTGGGATAAAAAATTACCTATATTAAAAATGATAGGAATCGATTCAGTAAACGATTCTGAACAAACTACTTTCTCAAAGTGCGTTAATTATGTTACATGTTGTATATACGTGTGTGTGTAATCACTGACGCATCGCTAGTAAGAATTTTTATTAAGAATGTAATCCATGTATTGTTTTTGGCTGTTACTTATATTTTCGGTTGTGTTACTTCAACTCTGGTGAAGTTATAAACACTTGTGCGTATATATGCATATCGACGCAATTTTGTTGTGAAAATGCGATGTCATTTTGTGATGCGTTTGTAAGTACATTAAAAAAGATAGTTTTCTAATCCGTTATGTGCAAAATAAAGAAAATATAAGGAAATTTTGTTATGAATTTATAACTTATATTTATTGAATCAAAACAATGTTATTGCTTTTAAGATGTAAAATCAAATTTCAATTACATATGAAATAAGTATAAATATTTAATTTGTATTTTAATTAACGAATGTTGGTAGAGATTTTAGGTGCGATTAGTATCTGGTTTAGAGAAAATGAAGTATTTAGGTAAGAATAGAATGCTTGTTTGAAATGTTATGGTGTTGATAATTACTCATCAAATTTATTATATTATTTTGTTAATAAAGATAATTATACAGCACTGACATACTTTTTATTTTGATTGAAGTTTTATATTTACGTAGTTCTTTTAACGTTGAGTCGGAGTAATGTTTTCTACTAAGACGATAATTTTCGAATACTGTCGTTGTTTGCTTCAGACTTCAGTCATTAGAGCCAAGCCAAACAGCACGTCCAAGCTCGCCTAGCATAAAATCAAAGAAGGGATTGGCAGCTGTACTATTAAGTCACGAGACAATTAATTACAACAACCCTTAGTGGCGGTGTAAGAATATCGACTGACCCATATCATCTCGTGAGTGTGAAACTAACAGATAAGTAGCAACATCTTGATAACCAAAAAAAACTGCGGTTCTGATGGAAACTAAAAAGCCAGTTGCTTCGTGACTGGGATTTGCATAGCTGTTTAGATTTACATTTTAGGGCCTTCCGTGTATGGTAATGACGGGACGTTAGTGTGTCTACATGGAATCTGAACGGTTTTGAGAACTTAGTTACAGCCTATATACGTCCCATTGCTGGGCACAGGACGCCTCGCAAAACATCGTGAGGAAAACTCCTCATGATGTTTTCCGTCATCGCCAAACACGTGGTAAATCTGCACTTAAGGGGATATAGTAAGTCAGCTCAAATTCTAATTTCGCCCCTACTTTCCCGCGCGTCGTATGCTATGTATCGACATATTTGTAATCACTAATACTGTAAGTAGAAAGGTCGTTAGATACTTATTTCATTAGGTTTATCATATTTATGCCTGTTTCTTAACGCCAACCCAGTCGCTTCTTATTTTTATTACGGTTATTTCCCATTTCAATTTGACGTCGTCCTGTTGCGTAATGTGTATTCTGATCGTAAGAGCGACACAACCTTCCCCTTCGAAAGCCTAAGCAAAACTGACCGGGCGGCAGGAATCAAGCTTCAACACGCCGATAGTTTAGGTAATTTCTTTTTACAGTGAAAATAATGGTATTTTAAAAAAGTAAATAACATAAGCACTACTTTATAGTTAGTTCAGTTAGTATGCAAAGTTTCATGATCTTATTTAAAGTATTTTACGAATAACAGCGGTTTATTGTAGTTTGGAGGTAACTTTGGATTTTTTTTTCTATCGAGAAAATTTTACGGAATCGTGTTTTCGTCTAACATAGTCCTTAACGTTAATTCTCAACTTTACCATACATTTATTGCAAAATTAATGCTGCAATACTTTCAGCATAACGGAGGATCTTACTAAGCCATTTGAGGTTATATTTCCCCTTAAATTAACAAGTTCATTGGTGCCGGCATCGACTCCGGGTGGCCCGCATACTGTGAAATTTACTCAGCTACCGCGGGTCCTAGCTTTTGGGAACTAACTTCGATTATTTCCATTAATACGGAAAAAAAAACATCAAATTATAAAAAATGCAGTGAAAAATTAAAATAATGTTTGAATTAAATAGGTACATAATTTTATGTTTGACTTCTTACCACTAATTCATGCTCCTGAAAAATGTTCTGGGAATTTATTCCGAACATCGATTGCTGCTCAATGACCTGAAAGCGTCTTCGCCTTCACCAATGTCTTGTTTCCAAGTTCCTGGGCTTATTCTCTCTTGACAATTGTGTCAGTGTAGCCTCATGGGGTGTAAATAGACCATAGAATACTATAATACATACATAATAGAACGGGGATGTGGGCGGAGCCCGTTTAGCCACTAAAATGCCACAAGACGTCAATTCACACGTATAAATGTCAACACGAGATGTGTTTTGACGTTACAATCATTTCCGAATTTCGCATGCAAATTATTTACAAAATGTCAAATTGCACGCTATTTACAAATAAATATGTATTAAAATCCGTCTGTCAACACAGCGAATCGAGTTTGTAGTAGTGATTAACTGATAATACGACGTAATTGCTTGTATGTGTGCTCCTGGCGACGCCGAACCTCGGTACAAAATAAGGTTGACAGCCATTCTATTGTGTATTATATAGTATTCTATGAAATAGACCGCGAATTACGACTATTTCTTAAAAAGTTTGTAAGAAAGCATGTGCCATCACGACACTTAAAGCTTCGTTTGCTTGAGTGCTATAGGTTTTCTAAGTACACGAAATCGTGCTGACATAACGACAAATGCGTTTCCCACAAAAATACATACAGAAGAAAAGTAACGATTGAATTTTTGTTGCATACTTCCTTCGGGGTTTTCGCCGGGAAAAGATTTCATTGTGTTAGAGTGCAATGGAAATGCATTGTCGGCAACAAAAACATAGGGCATATTTTACACCGCAAACAGAAAGGGATTCAGGTTGTGGTAAAAGTAAGGAATTTGAAGGTTTTCAAATAACAGAGTGTCTCTGAATACACCACCGTCGCTGATTCTACCCTCGTTTCAGACATCGCAAAATATAAAACAAAAATTGCAATCTACCAAGTCAAACAATACTAAACGAATGTTTATAATTAAAATATTCAGATCTTCTGTGAATCGGTGACATCATGACATGTTTACCATCAATTGCTCCCAAGCAATGAGGAAATGTAGGTATGTCCATAATCCAATGCTTATTGCACCCGTTGGTTGGTTTCTCACGTACCTTGATCACGTCCTTTGGTACAGATATCAGCAGCGCAGTATTCCCTTACAATATTGGAAATTGGCTCGACCGGGAAAGAACCACGCTCTCGCAGAATACCAGCGTTGAATAGTGGCTTAATGCTGCTGTGTTTCGTATGGTGAGTGTAGAGATCCGTAGACCCTTTTTACTGGAAACGAGGCATCCCATCTTAGTCCTCACGGGTGACTACGCATCTGCATTTTGATTCGTAATCGAGGATAGATGTAGATATGTCTATGGGCCACAGCAACCACTTACCATCAGGTGGACTGTGTGCTCGTTTGTCACGCTATCCTATAAAAAAATAATTCCATGAACTTATTTGTAAAAATATTGCGGATGTAACTAATTAGAGCCCACTTTGACTTTTTTTTCTGTCGAGTAAATTACATGATATCGTGTTTTCCGTTTATGCAATATCCAAGGTCATATACCTAGTCAAAAATCATATACTAAATTATTGGTTTGTAATCTATAAACTTAAAAAAATATGTTAAATAGAAAAACTACCAAATTTTCGAGATATCACCTTAAGTGAAATTTGTGCGCGGGCAAACAATGAATAAACCTTAAGAAGACATCCAGTGTATTTTTCCTGCGCATTTGGATTGATCTTTTTTTTCTTTGTGTTATTTTTTTCTTCAATCGGCAATGATAAAATATATTTATATAATAAAAATGTACACTCATGAATTACAGTGTAGCAGCGTCAACGCCCATCTTTCTTCAAATTCAAGGAACATTAACACCAATATTATAGCTAAAATGAGTATTGACATTGACCGTTCAAGCGTGGCCAACTTCTTTTAACGCGTTAATAATTAACGCAATATTTTTATCGCGATGATGGGCATTGATTTTTCCAGTTCTCAGCATTAGTGACGTTAAAAGTCAGCAAGTTACGATCAAGCCATTCTGTTATTGGTCATGCCACGATTAGCACTTTGAAAGCAGTCCTTCCATGAGTCTTCAGAAAAGATGAATGCAGTATCATCTGCATGGCAAATTACAGTCGCTTGAGGTAATGGTATTGACGTGACATCTTTAATGTAGGCTAGGAACAAGAAAGGGCCCAGGATACTACCTTGGGGGACACCGTAAGACATAGAAGCTTAGTTACTTAAATGTGAATACTTTAGTACCTACACTGTTCACGCCCAATTAAGTAGGTTAGGTACATATGTCATA